TTAATATTTAGATTTAACATTTAACATTTAGATGCCACATTTAATATTTAGATTTAACTATTTAATATATTTCTAAGTTAACAAATATTGCTGTAAATGTGGTAAAAGGTGACGTTAAAAAATTCACAACACTTTTTTAAACATTGTTTGAAGCTAAATGTGGCAAAATGTTGATGTTATTTTCAGCGTGAGACACAAACGGCACCCCATATCACCCTTAATCAAATCAAAAACAGATAATCATGTGACTAACTGACAGACAGCATGGAGTGGTGAGTGGTCTGTTTACTGCAGCAGAGCCCAGGTGCCATGTTCACCTGCAGCAGCTCAGATCTATCAAAGAAGCTAACTCCTCCTCTCTTTGGTTGCAGGTGCGTTTGATGTTGTCATCATCGTCGGCGCTTTACGTGAATGTTCTGTGCCGGTCAGCGTTGTCAGGGAGCTCTACCGGGCCACCAAACCAGGTAACCACCCAAAATACTTTGTTTTCTGAGTAAATGCGCTGGTGTATGGAACTTGTTATTAAACTGCCCCATCTGGTGAGGCTACTTTTCCAAATAACACATGACATCAGAGGCAGAGACGGGAGGGTCTTACCAAGAAAAGCCAATAGCAAAGCAGCCAGCAGAATAAACTGAAGGATTTGTATGTGATGTCATACAGGAAGTGCTTCCCTTGTCTACATGCCTCGGTGTGGAGCTGGCATCAGTCACATGACTTATTCTCAGTTTTATTATCCTGACTTTTATCCAGACCTTCACAGAAAAACAGTCGCTGCACTTCAGAGCTCTTCCTCAAAAAACAGCTTCTAACTTTTGTGGACGCAATTCATCATCTTCACTACTGAACAGATATTTGACTCAGAAAGTAGTGACGTCACCACCACGCTACTGAGAAATAGAGTTAAGTTAGTGACATTGAAGCTACTTGAAGTGAAGCTACTGCCCAACACTGTTGTTGACACAGTGCTGCTGTTGTGTTTCTATCTGTACGCTGTCAGTGTCCTCTTTTAGCTCAGCAACGTGATCTGATTAATGTGTTTTTCAATGTCTGAGACAATGGGCAGTCATGGAGTGCATGACTGTGGCGTGTATAGCGTGTGTTAACTGCATGAGTTCTACGGTCAATGCGCAAGTTAGCAGTTGTGTGAAGTTGCTGAGAATTACATGTACAGCTCAAATTTTACATGAACTACTGTGCACACGGTATTTTGGGCCCTGCCAACTCTGGTGATGTGTTCTCAAGGTGGTATGAACTGAAGTACACACTGATGGTTGTAATTTGTGGTATAAAAGTGTCTGTTTGGGGAAAAGAAACTACAAAGTGTCATTTTATGCAGATGATTACGTGTTATATGTCGGTAACCCTCCAGATTTAGTCTCGAATGTCGTGTCTGTTCAGACTTGTCGGTGACAAATGACAATAACGACAGCTACATAGGCATTAACCTGAGTCTGATTGTTGTTTTTCTTTACTGCTGTTTTTCTGTTTATTATTGATGTTCTTCTGTAAACCAAATGCCCCCCCCCCCCCAAGACATTAAAGCTTTACTACTCTGCTGTGTTCTACTCCACTCTAACCCCTGAGTCTTACAGGAGGAGATGCTATGAGAGGGTGAACCTTATTCTTCTCCTTTTCTGTCCTAAAAATTAATCCAATAATTAATTTTTCTGCAGGAGGTTATGTTTGCATGACGAGAGTGGACACAAAGACGGAGCCTGGAGAAAAATACAAGGTGTCTTTGGAGAAAGAGCTGCAGCTGATGGAGGAGGAGGGGCTGTGGGTCAAAGTGGACACCAAGCAGAAGAACAATTACCTATTAGACCCTTTTAATCGCTATGAAAAAGAGCAGAAGGAGCAATACATCGGTGGGACCATGTACATGTACCAGTCACTCAAGTAGTCACTCTACATCTGTAGACATTCCTTCACTGTCTGATCTGTAGATTCAACACAATGTCACTAAACACACCAAAGTTTATGTGGACATTTTGATCCTTCAGCACAATCAAGCCCCGAGCTATGATCGGACAGTTGATTGTTTTTCAGTGATACGTGACTTTGCTGTGTCCAGACCTGGAGGGTTCAGTCACAATGATAAACATTCATTTATTAAAAACAAAAGGAATAATAATTGTCATTAAATGTATGTTTTTCATGCAATCATGACAATAAATATAAACATTACAAGAGAAACAATGTGTTTTGTTTTTCACTTTATTTCTGTGTTTAACTTGTTTTCATTTTACCCTCCTGTTTTATGTTGTTTTTTTTTTTGATAAAAATTTGGGTGTATGATACAACTTTTGTACACCTGGTGTTCGTGGTCAGAAATAACTGTAAATGAATAGCTGAGACTACGATTGGCATTTAAAACTGAATTTAGGCACATGCCCATTCAACAGATGGACACACCTCCTCTCCCAGACCCCCACATGCATCATTAAAATATTATCAGACTCATATATCAGTTTGTTCTCAGTCTCCAGTTGTTTTAATTATGATAGATTAATCTATTAAAATGCTTTACAGGAGATCTGTAATTCATGTTCATGGTTCAGCCTCCATTTGACATGAACTCTCATGTAAATCAGCATCAGATCAGTTTGCTGCTGCAGAGCAGACCTGTTGCCTCAACTTCTTCTTCTTCTCCTTCTTTGGCTGTTCCCTTTAGGGGTCGCCACAGCGAATCATCTGCCTCCATCTAACCCCATACTCTGCATCCTCTTCTCTCACACCAACTGACAACTGTCCTCTTTCACTACATCCATAAATCTCCTCTTTGTTGCCTCAACTACACAGGCTGAATAACTTGTGTCTGGTGACTCTCCAGGTGGGCAGGATACAGTCTGATGACTCCTCTGGCAACGAGGGACGCGCTCAGCTAACCAGAAAGCCCTACTGGTATCCTGTACGGGACCGTCCCATAATGAAATCTCTTACTGAATCAATACGGGACACAGTTTGTCCCGTTTTTCTGCTCACCCTCCTCTACCTCATAAACTGTGTTTTCACAACATGAGAAATAGTAAACCAAGACTTTCACGAGACAAAGCCGAGAAATATTAAATCAGAATTTGCGGTGGAGAATATGACAGGTGTGCCACTCGGAATCACCGTTGCCATGGTTACAGAGACTCTGACGGTCATAACCACTGATAGCACGCTCACTGACACACTGACTTGACTGCTGCTTGATAAAGTTATCATAAGGTCTCTTATGGCCCGGGTGTTAAACTACAGAGCGCATGGATTCAGAGAGCCTCATGTGCACTTGATCCTGTTTTACATGTCTCAGTCATTGTGGAGCTCGTGAGACACAAAGTGATGCAGACACACCCTTCAGTTTTTAATACTTTTATCAATTATTATGTTTTATTGACTTACACAGCCTTCTGGCTCAGGTTGTACACATTTTAGGGACATGAAGTGTTCGAACGTACTCCAGGAAATGACATCACAATAAGCAACAATACCAAAGTTGGCACTGGAGGACCATTTCCACTGAAGAGTTCAAAGTGTTCACATCACCATAAGGATAATCACAGAATAAAAGATTTAAATGTTTTTAACATAATAAAAAGCACACAGTGATCATGACATTATGTTCAGATGAGGAGCATTAAAATGAATAAAAGGTGTCTGTGTGAGTTATAGAGACACAGAGACAGAGACAGAGACACAGAGACAGAGACAGATGGGTTTGTTGTGCGAGTCTTAGTCAGGCCAGCAGCTCAGGTGTGCAGCTTCTTCTCACACACCCAGTAGTGCTGTTCTTGACATATCCCACGGAACCAGGTCCTCAAGCGCCGCGAGCCTTGGTCAACATACGCACAAGCCCGAGCCTGACACCTCCAATCAATGTTCTGATAATTCCAGTTTCTACAAACAAACAGAGTTTTGGTGATTTGGTGAAGGTGGACCGGTGCAGGACAGCTGAGGGCGGACTGTGTTTGTCTGAATATGTGTCTGTGTGTTAGCTCTGTGATGAACTGGTGACCTGTCCAGGGTGTATCCTGATTTCACTCCCTGCAATCATTCACACCCCAACGGGTTCTGTTCTGCTTACCGCACATCATTTTGAACCACTCACAGCACGTTGACCAAAAGTAATTTTTCTGGAACCCAAAAAGTTGGTTCTAAGCTAAAACTAAAAAACAGCAGGTTCTTCTTGACCTGAAATGTGACGACATCAGTAGGTGTGTCATATTGTACACATTGGACAGAGAGGATGGAGAAGCCAAGAAAAAAATTAAAGCGTGTGCAGCGGCCTCATTAAAGAGTTTTTCCTGAAGCCAGTGTATTTTTTTAAAATGTATTTTTAATTTCCTAAAATGTTTTTTAATGCTTTGCAAATGGAGTGCCACATCTTTATGCTGTGCTAAAAGTGCCTGCAGCATGACCAGCTGGGTGTTATAGTCACTAAATAACCACTGATGATGCAGTCCTTATCAGGGCTGAATCATATCGTTAGGATAAATGTCAGAGAACATATAGAAAACGACATGTAAACGTGTTGTCTTACCTTACCGGTGTGCTGCCATGTTTGTTTACCATTTAGCTCTGCTTTCCAAAGCGCGGCCGAAATCTCGCGAGAACAAGCAGCAACAGCTGGAAGGCAGAACCGGACAGTAGCCTGAAAAGTTCATTCATTTATTTTATGAAAGATTTATAGAATAATGGCTGACTTTTTGCCAGACTTCGACTTTGTGGAGGAGGAATTTGATTTTGCAGAGATTAAAAGGCCGCCCTTATTTATTTGAGCCAGAATACATTGACGAAGAGCTTCGTGAAATTGAAGAACGGAGGAGGAGAGAGAGAGAGGCGCAACAGGTAGAGGATGAGAGAGGAGGAATGGCTGCTGCAAGGCTGCGTAGCTCTGGAGATTGGTGGTGTACCTGTGAATGCTGTGCCCCAGTGCCCACAGAAGAGGAATGCCTCTGTTGCAAGGAATGGGACCGGTTGCAGCCTTATTTTCAAGGTCTGGATGTGACCGAGGACGAGACACCTCCACCTGGAGTAGTATCCAGCTGGGCTTTATCTAGAGCTCGCCAGATATATTTCGGCCGCGCTTTGGAAAGCAGAGCTAAATGGTAAACAAACATGGCAGCACACCGGTAAGGTAAGACAACACGTTTACATGTCGTTTTCTATATGTTCTCTGAAATTTATCCTAACGATATGAGGCGGTCTTTGTGGAAAAAAAGCTTGTTTAGTGGACTAACTTTGCACTTGAAGGTTGCCCGTTCACTTACGTTTTAACAGGTCTGACGCTACTATGCGCCCCGGCTGTATCTAGGCTAACGGCTAACATGCTAACTATTATTTTTATGTCACTAGTCACTTGAAACAAATTTAGGACGATAGGAGACAGGTTGAAATAAACCGAAATTTCCCTTTAACACCAGGTATAAACAGGCTCATGTTTACGTAACATCTGTGGGTGTGTGACAGACAAATTCACTGTATGTAGTTTCCATATTTTGTCATTATATCAATTTTATCTATGGAATTGTTCCCTATGGAGAAAAGTGCTCTAAAGTTATGAATGGTCCAGAGTGCGCTCTGGCACTCAGAGTGTGTATTCACAAACACACCTGACTGTAGAACAATAAAGTTCATGTAACATTGTGTTGCTTTCACTTGACAGGAGAGGACAGAGACACAGGGGGCGGGGCACCAAGGCCATGGGGGCCAATGGGCAATGCGTGTAACTGCTGTTTTAATATAAGTTCAGTCGCAAAATTTCACTGTGTAATTTGGACATACTTGACAACATAATATGATGACATCAGTGTGATGAAACTTTACACAGCTGTTAATCAGGATCATCATTATGTTCTTAAACATTCAAAAAGCCTTACACAAAAGACAGTGCGCCTCCATCCACCCATGTCCACGTCCATGAGTTGGTGCATGGATCTTTGTAACCACTCAAACCCATCCACACTTTGGCAGCTTGTCCAAAACTACGCACAGTCCTCTGTTGGGAAGGAAGTTAAGTTAAAACACTTAATTCATTATGCTTACTCAGGTCAACCCAACACGGACTCACTCTTAAGTCATCAAAATCCGGCGCTTGGTCAATGACTTCCAGCGTGAGACGCAGACAAAGAAAGCTGTCCTTTCACGTCGGCATCATACGTGGCTGGTTGCCCTTATTGTTTAATGGCACCCGACAATGTCAGGGGAAACACAGCAGGACAACAATGAAAGTTAAGGTGGCAGAAGTCGGGGTAGGGCCGGTGGGAGGGGTGATGGATGGGTCCAACAACCACTGACTTTCATCTGGGAGGTCAGTGTTAGCTTAATGTAACACTGTAAAGCCAAACCCTGTTCTTTCTTCCTAAATGTAACCACGTTTGTTGTTTAAGGAAAGAAAATGTCAATTGGCGATGTTGTACCGACGTAGTGCTTTTATTTTGAAAGAGACTGTATGCAAACTGTACATTTCCTGTGAAAACAGAAGTGTATTTTGAAAACAGACAATGCATGTAACAGGCTGAAGTTGACACGGCGTCCCAGAACGTCAACAACTAATGCTCAAAGGGATGTAATTTGTCAACATGGAAAGTCCATGACCAAACGTGGACATGTGACGAGGTCGCAGTGAGAACGTGTTGGTCAACCACGAGCCAACTGGCTGCAGAGTAATACACCATATCAGGTTTATACAAATACCTCCTCTGCTTCATCATTGAAGATCACCAGATGAGATCCTTGGCTTGCACAGTTTTGATTGGCGTACTCCCAGGTGTTTCTCACAGAGGAATGCTGATAACATGTGGACATGTATGTTCTCCATCCCCGGGGACATCTTGGGGTATTTCGCTCTGCTCAGGGACAAGCACAGGACACTTTATTTACTGTTTATAGAAATAATCTGGGTCAGATGCTGGTTTTCATTTTTATGCCGATGACACTGTTATATACTTATGCACTTTAACTCTTGTGCAGGCCACTGAACACTTGAAAAAATGCTTTTAATGTTGTAAAAAAAATCCCTACTCTGATTGAAAGTCCTTCTTAATGCAGATAAACCAACTTTATGTTGTTTTCCAACACAAGGAACAGACCTGCCTCGGTCCACAGCTTTGAATCCACCCACTCCACTGAGTCCGAGCTGACTGATCCGTCTGCATCGTGACATTAAACACTGGTTTTTCAATTAAAATAAAAAACAACCAATGAGCATCGTGGTGGGAATCAATTAGCCAGTCAGTGCCACAGGCAGGATTAACACCATTGTCGAGTATTGTCAAGTGGTGCACCGGAACCAACGGGGAGTAATAACAACAATGGCGAGCACAAGACAGTCGCTGCTATTGAGGCTGTTCTAAATTGAAATGTCTTAAGAAAAACCACGCTGACCAATTCTAATAGTTCATTTTAAAGCCGACACTGTCTGATACCAATGACATAACGATACAATCATGCCACCACACTACGTCACATATTCACGTAATGTATAAAAGCAGAAGGATTGGCCAGTACAGGTCATGGAAAATGAGAACTGTGCAAGTTTTCCATTTGCCTTACTTGACATTACACATCATTTGATCATTCAATCAATCAATCAATTTTATTTATGAAGCCCAATATCACAAATCACAATTTGCCTCACAGGGCTTTACAGCATACGACATCCCTCTGTCCTTATGACCCTCACAGCTGATCAGGAAAAACTCCCCAAAAAAAACCCTTTAATGCGACTGTTCCGTGAGCACTCGTCTAGTATTTAATTTAATTTAATTAATTTTAATTTCATATACTTTATTAATCCCTCAGAGGAGAAATTCAATTTTTTCACTTTTTTGTCATTAACACACAGGTCCGAAAGACACACACATGCACAAACAGGACCTATACACAGGGGCGAAAATCCCATTTCATATTTGGGGGGGACA